GAGGAGGAGGAGGAGGAGGAGGAGGAGGAGGAGGAGGGGGAAGATGACGACGAGGAAGAAGAAGAAGAAGAGGAGGAGGAAGAAGAAGACGAGGAGGAGGAGGAGGAGTAGGAGGAGGAGGAGGAGGAAGAAGAGGAGGAGGAGGAGGAAGAAGAGGAGGAGAAGGAGGAGGAGGAGAAGGAGGACGAGGATGTGGACATTGTGGAGGACGAGAAGGTGGACGACGACAACCAGGAAACGGAGGAAGAGGAGGAGGAGGAGACGAGGAAAGGAGAAGAAGAAAGAGGAAGACAGGAGAAGCGGAAGGAGGAGGAGGAGGAGGGGGAGAAGGAGGAGGAGGAGGAGGAGATGGACGAAGGGAAGTTGGCTTACCTGGCATGGGCGGGCAATGGCACCTGGGGTTGAGGTTGTCGACGTCGGAGTTCGACAATTGCAACACCGAACTTCGGTGACAGCGCGGGGGCCAAGACGCGCGGGTGAGATCGCTAGGGCAACCAATTTTGAATTTCAAAGTGGCCTGATTTGGGTCATCGATCTCGCAGATCTGACGGCCCACATCAGACCGTTTTGTTTTTCGATTTTTGAGGCCCTACCGGCCTCCAACACATCTTCCCGTCGGCGCCCCCGTTTCGCCAACCCCATCAGTCTACCCCTCCGCCGCCCAAACCCAGTCCTGGACCCACCCGATTTTTTTCCAGCGATCGGACGTAGGGGCCTAGGTGGACGACCGACCGGATGTCCGATCGGACAGTCCCGGGCAGTCAGGGGGGTCTCGGACGTCCGATCAGGTAACGTAGCTAATAAGATTATAGAATGGCCAACCCCTTTCAGATTCATCATATATATAGAAAGCTTCCTTTGCGGGTTTTGACGTATTTTCATCCGGAGGTTTGCGACAAGGGTAGAGCACATACGGAAGTTGATACGCAAAAACCAGGTTTGGGAATGAGGTCCAAAACAGCAAGAGGTGGTGAAGGACATTAAGACAAAATTTTGATAAGGTGGTTTGATTCCCGGTATTTCTTGTTTCGACAACGATCCAAATCGGCCTTTCATTGCTAAGACATATGCAAGACCCACGATTGCGGGCGAAGTTCTGATTCAGAAAGATAAGGAAGGACGAGAATGGTCGTTGAGATTCGAAAGTCGAATTCTGAATATCACCGAGTATCATTATTCTCAATTCAAGAAAGCGACTTTCGGAGTACTTCACTGTCTTATAACATTTCAAAATTATGTATTTGGAAGATATTTCATTTTGCGAGTGGATCCAACGACTTTGACTCAGTCATTAAGGAATTATACTCTATTGAATCCGATGGCTGCTCGATGACTAATGTATATTTGAATGTTTGACTTCAAAATCGAGCGTATTTCCGGTACTCAGAACCGATCAGACGGGCGAGGTCGAATCGATTGAGACTCATCTAGAGACTAGGCAGAAGATTTAACTCTCGTGGAAAACTTTCTAGACAAAGAGGAAATCGACTAAGTATTAACTTTATTAATCACTTGACAGATGCTTCCTCTCCATCAAGAATATCATTTTGGAATGTGTTGAGTTCCTATTAGGTGCGTCCATAATTCATAATGAGGAAACCATTTATTATGGAAGATCCATACGGATAAATAAATGTAAAATAGATGACGAGTTTGACGTTGTCAGACTCAATCAACCTTAACGACGAGTTTTTGACAATTGAAGGAAAACTTGAGCAAATTTACAAAGCCTCTAGAATTTGTGGAGGCTTATTGTTTCTTGTAAGTTCTTTAATTCAAGAGGACCGTCTCAAGATGATGGTAGGAGGGGGAAGCAACGAGATCAAGGAAGTTTTTCAGCAAAATGAGCATGATGGATCTATCAAAGGATGAAATTGTGGTTGAATGGGGAATTAACTGAAGATGAAGTGGAACTAGAGGTTCGTTTGAAAAGTAAGGACTTCACCGTTCGATACAGTGATCTCTTTAAGAAGTCAGATGACGACATTCCGAGATGAGTGGTATGTGGACTGACACGGCAGCTTGACGTAATTGCTGCCATGTACGATGAGATTGTCGGTGGTCACAAATTGGCACACGTTACTTTAAGGAAGATTCAACATCCTTACTTCTAGTAAGGGATAGGGAGAATAGTTGCTGATTTTTGCAACTTCTGCGTCCTTTGTCAGACACGTTTGAATCTTCGATATATTGAGTCACTTAACCCTCGTTATATGCTTGAATCAGGTGCGGTGGTACACCTTACTCTATTGGTAATGCCACTCGGGATAAAAGAGCCCAGGTAGATCTTCAATATCAGAGATAAATTAGCCGGTTTCGTTGATGGATGTGCAATCTGTGATTGAACCGGGAAAGTTCCGGTAGAATGCGTCGATGAATTTTACTGTCGATATTCGTTTATCCGCAATTTTATGATGGATCGAGATGGTGAGTTTTGGTCTTATGACGTACAAGCTGTTTTAAGGAAGCTTGGGGTAAACTACAGTTATACCACGAGAACACATCCACAGACTAACGCTCCGATTCAGCGTGGACATGCTACTTTGACAAATTTATTAGCAAACCGGTGTTCGGGTAAGCCGTCGAGATTGCCTCTCTATTTAAGGACAACAATGTTCATTGAGAATATTACTATCAAGCGGACGACTGAATATGCTCCTATTACGCTATGGTTCGATCGGCATGTGTGACATTTCCGATTGAAAGTTTTCTGACTACTTGGCGAAGGCAGGACATGCAGACTAATATTTCCACATAAGAGTTACTTAACCTCGGAGCAAGGCAGATTATGACTACAGAGGAAAGGATTGAAGAGGTTGCTGCCTCTACTGTTGAGAGAAGGCAAGAAGACAAAGTTAGGTGAGACAAGCGGCCTTGCAAAAAGTCATTCAAAGTTGGTGATGTCGTTAGCCTTTACGACTCTTCTTTAGAAAAGCAATGACCAAGAAAGTTGGATAGCCGATAGTTAGAACCATATCACATCATAAGAAAGACAGAGCAGATGGCATATGAGATTGAGGAAATGAATGGTAACTTTCAACGGAATTAGGTTTTTGGTTCTTATCTACGAAAATTCATTCATAGGGAAGGAAGAAAAATGTTGTTATGAAAAGTTTTAAATTCTTTCTGTAAATTATGACACTCCTTATTTTTTAATCTGGAAAACAACACTAAGGATTAGCTTAGAATGCAGCTCGTCTTGTTTCTTACGAGAGAAATTTTTGGATAATTTTGATTGTTATTTTCGGATGTGTTGAGTTTTAAACGATCGTGAGATATAAATACTAATATGCTGCTCTACGTGACAATTATAGTCATCCTTGCGATCACAATAGAGATTGACACCTTGTTTCTCATGGCAGTGCTACCAACCTGGTAGTCATCTCTCATCGTTGCTGACAACACTGCTCATTGGGCTCGAGTCCGTTTCGACAGTCCTACACACAGTGGAGGTCGTATTAATGCTTGCATTCCCAATACTTGTTACCTTCCCAACGCAAGTTGAGCATTGGACTCATCAAGATTGCAGTCGTCTTCCTGGTTTCCGCAGATAAGTTCACACTATGACCGTTGACCTTTCAAATGACTAGGTGAGCCTAGTCGAGATGGTTGATTACGTACATTAAGTCGGTATCCCGTTACGGGACCATGTTGTGCGCCAAGCTTACTATCTTTTCAGATTAAGTCGAAAAGACGGTAGGCGCAGATTGTGGGGACGTTCGAACCTAAATGACCGTTGGTGCACGATTTTGATTGTTTTGTTTTTTTGTTGTTGACCGACACATTATTTTATTATACTTTAGTTTATTTATCGATTTGAAAAATTTTGAGTTCCTCATTTAAAGCACAAAGTTTGTGACATTGTCAAGCTTTATAAAAGAACAGCCACGAGGATAACGCCCTCGCAAGATCAGTGGGTGCTAGAGGATATATTGCTCTAGTTCTACCGATTGGGGTCGCAGTGGGGGGAGAAAGATCATTTTTGTACTTGTTATCAGATTTTAGTGGTCTTATGACTTAAGTGCATGTGTGAGGCTATTAGTTGGCATTACTAATAGTTATGGCATGCAAGAAAAGGATTAGAGAGCTATAGGCCTCGAGCAAGGAGACTTTTAACGCACTGGGCTTTAACGTCAGGTGAAGGACGTTGGATCACGACGATCTGAAATTCTGACGGCGACGAAACGAGACTAAAAATTAACGTAAAAGGGGTTGGAGAGGGGGATATAAGGATAGACTAGAAACTGCAAGTTGTGTTCACAAAGGCCAAGAATCAGGCCAAGAGGAGGTGCAAAAGGGATGCGGTGACAGTAGAGGTCCAGGTGACTATCTCGTATCAAAAGATGAAGACTTCTACTGGACCATGGAATCTGAACATCAGCCCCTAGATAGGGAATTTGAGGTTGAGTCCGAACCCAGCGATGCGACTACATAATCATGGCATGGGTTGGACCAGTGGCTGTATGATCACCCACCAACAACACCCGTAGAGGACAGTCCTGAGGCTAATTCGCGACGATAGAGGTATTGAGGTCAAGAGACAGTTACATACAACGATGAAGCGATAG